CCAACTTGGTGAGAATACTCATCACTGAAAATGTTGCATCTCGACTTAAGCGCCCTGAGTGGCAAGCACCCTGAGTAACCAGTTGTCCAGGTACAGGTGGCAACACTGACCCTGTGGGAGGGTAAGCCGAGGCAAGTAGTGGGGGCCGAGTGCGAGAGCTGGAAGGCTGCTCTAATAAGGTCTAAGAGTCCTTAAATGTAGAGACAGCCTCCGAGGCCTCCCGAACAACTGTAATCGGCCAGGGAACAGGATAGACCCCAACCTGAACAGCAATGCTGGTAAAGCTTGTTGCGTGGCTGGGGAATACCGGGCTACAGAAAGCCACAAACGGCAGAGGCCCATTACCGCACTCTTCATCTGACAGGCGCAACTCCTGATGGAATCGCGCAACTCCTGATGGAATCGCGCGCCACATGGGAGTGCACCTCCATAAGATGCCGTGCCAGTACTTGGGATTGGACGTCATCCCTGCCCTGTCCAATGTCAACAAGTTGCCTTTGAAGGGCAGACAAGTACACTGAGTGTATAACTACCCAGAGCTGCTGACTCGCATTACGGAACTGTTCCTCGAATCTTCTGTAAGTGGCCTTAAGAGATGGACTATTGGAAGCAAAGGGAGGCAGGCGTCAGAACCATCCAGTGTGACGGAAGCATATATATATAATCATCGACAACTGGGGGTTCCAACAACCCCTCCTTCCCCAACAGGTAGCGCCTGTTCAACACGGGAAAGTCGAACCGGGACGGTATACCCAGAAGGAAAGGGTTAATAACCTTGCTAATAAGGGAGGGTAATATGCGAAGGTGAGTCTCGGTGACTCTGCTCAAAGCGTATGCTTCCCCTGGAAGCGTTAACTCCAAGGGGTCGGGGCCGTCCAATGGGGACGACCACCGGCAGAACAGCTGTGATACGATCTTGCACCTGCCGCAGGGACAACCCGAGTGAAGAAGATACTTCCCCCGGCGCCTCCCTACCCTCATCATCCTCCATTGACTCCTCGTCTCTATCCTCAAGAGCCGAACTCTCTGTGGTCTGAGATGGCCCGGAGGCGGGAACCGAGGGAGTTATGGAGAGAGATAATGGGTGGAGAAGAGCGAGGGAGCTCGGATCGACTCACCCACGGCTTGGCGTAGAGGCGAGGTGCCAAGAGCTCGAGGACTGCCCTGCAACAACAGGTTGTCCCAGGAGCCCGGAAGACTCTGCGGGAGCCGAAGACACTGAGACCAGTGCCGACTGCCCCATAGCCTGAGCCAAAAACGTTTTTTTTGTTTTGTTAATATTTTACTGAAAAAAAAGATAGTCAAAGGATTTTAAAATGAATATTTTAATGCTTATAAGTACCCCAAGGAGGATCTCTTTTGAAAAAGAATTGTGCTTTAATAAGGGTATACCAGAGATTTAGTAAGTACAATCTAGTACTTCAGTAAGTATACTGAAGTGCTTTACAAAGTAGATTGTACAGCTCTAACAAGAGCTTCAATAAATATATTACAGTTCCTTAAAATATACAGCTACAAGTGCATTGTGGACCAATTTGTTTCGTAAAGGATTATCTATGGCTCAATGAAAGAATTTTGTATTTCCTGAAAATTCACTAATCCCCAGAAGCCAAATTTGGACAGCAGGGTAGTGCCTATAGCAAGTATCCTTATTTGACAGCAAGCAGCTAACAGAGGCAGTAAACCATACGACCTCAAGCTCCACGTAAGATGTTACATATTGTGGCACTGTTTGATAGTCTGGTCTTAATCTGTATGTCAAACTATATACAAATCTGTGGCATTACTACTTATTTGATTGTCCTTTGATGTCCTTAAAAAATAATCATATACATTAATTTGTCTTATTATATGATGGGTTGATTTCTGCCCTTCTGATTGGCCCACTTGGTCACATGACAGCTTTGACGCTAAGCGATGTCAACCTCACCACGTCGAGAGAGTTTGATATAACAATCAAAGCACCTCCTGTGGCTAAAACTAGATTTGGGATATTCCAGCTGTGAACTCTGCACTGCATGCGTCTTGCTAGATGAGGAAGCGATATGCATCGCTTTATCCCTGTGACTGTGTTGGTTTAGAGTTATGTACAATCTGTATCAAGATGGCAGACAACACGACACCATGAATATTCATGACTGTGTCAGAAGAGGAAATACAACGTCCATGTCACAGAAGAACAGGTATTCAGTACTTTTGTCATATAAGAAAAATTTGGTTGATCCATTGATTTATCGACCTTGGACATGTATATATGGCAAAAAGAATGAAACAACTCGCAAATACCAAGACAAGGTAGATAAATCATTGGATCAAGCTCACTAGAAGTCAAAAATTGTATATTATCACATAACTTTAGATTTTGACTGACTACCCCAAACCATTGATCACTCGGAGGAGGCTGGTGATCTTCCCCAACCCCACTCCTCCCTGTGTCACTCACCTCTAGTCTGGCCACGACGGCAGTGTACTCGCTGCTGACGGCCTGCAGCTGGTGATCTTCCCCAACCCCACTCCTCCCTGTGTCACTCACCTCTAGTCTGGCCACGACGGCAGTGTACTCGCTGCTGACGGCCTGCAGCTGGTGATCTTCCCCAACCCCACTCCTCCCTGTGTCACTCACCTCTAGTCTGGCCACGACGGCAGTGTACTCGCTGCTGACGGCCTGCAGCTGGTGATCTTCCCCAACCCCACTCCTCCCTGTGTCACTCACCTCTAGTCTGGCCACGGCGGCAGTGTACCGCTGCTGACGGCCTGCAGCTGGTGATCTTCCCCAACCCCACTCCTCCCTGTGTCACTCTCACCTCTAGTCTGGCCACGACGGCAGTGTACTCGCTGCTGACGCCTGCAGCTGGTGATCTTCCCCAACCCCACTCCTCCCTGTGTCACTCTCCTCCTCTAGTCTGGCCACGGCGGCGGTGTGTACTCGCTGCTGACGGCCTGCAGCTGGTGATCTTCCCCAACCCCACTCCTCCCTGTGTCACTCACCTCTAGTCTGGCCACGACGGCAGTGTACTTTCGCTGCTGGCCCGCCTGCAGCTGGTGATCTTCCCCAACCCCACTCCTCCCTGTGTCACTCACCTCTAGTCTGGCCACGGCGGCAGTGTACTGCTGCTGACGGCCTGCAGCTGGTGATCTTCCCCAACCCCACTCCTCCCTGTGTCACTCACCTCTAGTCTGGCCACGGCGGCAGTGTACTGCGCTGCTGGCCTGCCTGCAGCTGGTGATCTTCCCCAACCCCACTCCTCCCTGTGTCACTCACCTCTAGTCTGGCCACGGCGGCAGTGTACTTTCGCTGCTGGCGGCCTGCAGCTGGTGATCTTCCCCAACCCCACTCCTCCCTGTGTCACTCACCCTCTAGTCTGGCCCACGGCGGCAGTGTACTGCTGCTGACGGCCTGCAGCTGGTGATCTTCCCCAACCCCACTCCTCCCTGTGTCACTCACCTCTAGTCTGGCCACGGCGGCAGTGTACTTTCGCTGCTGGCGCCTGCAGCTGGTGATCTTCCCCAACCCCACTCCTCCCTGTGTCACTCACCTCTAGTCTGGCCACGACGGCAGTGTACTCGCTGCTGACGGCCTGCAGCTGGTGATCTTCCCCAACCCCACTCCTCCCTGTGTCACTCACCTCTAGTCTGGCCACGACGGCAGTGTACTCGCTGCTGACGGCCTGCAGCTGGTGATCTTCCCCAACCCCACTCCTCCCTGTGTCACTCACCTCTAGTCTGGCCACGACGGCAGTGTACTCGCTGCTGACGGCCTGCAGCTGGTGATCTTCCCCAACCCCACTCCTCCCTGTGTCACTCACCTCTAGTCTGGCCACGACGGCAGTGTACTCGCTGCTGACGGCCTGCAGCTGGTGATCTTCCCCAACCCCACTCCTCCCTGTGTCACTCACCTCTAGTCTGGCCACGACGGCAGTGTACTGCGCTGCTGACCTGCCTGCAGCTGGTGATCTTCCCCAACCCCACTCCTCCCTGTGTCACTCACCTCTAGTCTGGCCACGGCGGCGTGTACTCTCGCTGCTGGCGGCCTGCAGCTGGTGATCTTCCCCAACCCCACTCCTCCCTGTGTCACTCACCTCTAGTCTGGCCACGGCGGCAGTGTACTGCCAAGCTGGCTGCCTGCAGCTGGTGATCTTCCCCAACCCCACTCCTCCCTGTGTCACTCACCTCTAGTCTGGCCACGGCGACGGTGTGCCTCGCTGCTGACTGCCTGCAGCTGGTGATCTTCCCCAACCCCACTCCTCCTGTGTCACTCACCTCTAGTCTGGCCACACGACGGCAGTGTGTACTCGCTGCTGACGGCCTGCAGCTGGTGATCTTCCCCAACCCCACTCCTCCCTGTGTCACTCACCTCTAGTCTGGCCACGACGGCAGTGTACTCGCTGCTGACGGCCTGCAGCTGGTGATCTTCCCCAACCCCACTCCTCCCTGTGTCACTCACCTCTAGTCTGGCCACGGCGGCAGTGTACTTCGCTGCTGACGGCCTGCAGCTGGTGATCTTCCCCAACCCCACTCCTCCCTGTGTCACTCACCTCTAGTCTGGCCACGGCGGCAGTGTACTGCGCTGCTGACGGCCTGCAGCTGGTGATCTTCCCCAACCCCACTCCTCCCTGTGTCACTCACCTCTAGTCTGGCCACGCACGGCAGTGTACTGCTCGCTACTGACCGGCCTGCAGCTGGTGATCTTCCCCAACCCCACTCCTCCCTGTGTCACTCACCTCTAGTCTGGCCACGGCGGCAGTGTACTGCGCTGCTGACGGCCTGCAGCTGGTGATCTTCCCCAACCCCACTCCTCCCTGTGTCACTCACCTCTAGTCTGGCCACGCACGGGCAGTGTACTGCTGCTGACTGGCCTGCAGCTGGTGATCTTCCCCAACCCCACTCCTCCCTGTGTCACTCACCTCTAGTCTGGCCACGGCTGACGGTGTAGTGTACTCGCTGCTGACGGCCTGCAGCTGGTGATCTTCCCCAACCCCACTCCTCCCTGTGTCACTCACCTCTAGTCTGGCCACGACGGCAGTGTACTCGCTACTGACGGCCTGCAGCTGGTGATCTTCCCCAACCCCACTCCTCCCTGTGTCACTCACCTCTAGTCTGGCCACGACGGCAGTGTACTCGCTGCTGACGGCCTGCAGCTGGTGATCTTCCCCAACCCCACTCCTCCCTGTGTCACTCACCTCTAGTCTGGCCACGACGGCAGTGTACTCGCTGCTGACGGCCTGCAGCTGGTGATCTTCCCCAACCCCACTCCTCCCTGTGTCACTCACCTCTAGTCTGGCCACCTACGCAGTGGTGTACTTTCGCTGCTGACGGCCTGCAGCTGGTGATCTTCCCCAACCCCACTCCTCCCTGTGTCACTCACCTCTAGTCTGGCCACACGACGGCAGTGTACTTCGCAAGCTGACGGCCTGCAGCTGGTGATCTTCCCCAACCCCACTCCTCCCTGTGTCACTCACCTCTAGTCTGGCCACGGCGGCAGTGTGTGCTTTCGGTGCTGACGGCCTGCAGCTGGTGATCTTCCCAACCCCACTCCTCCCTGTGTCACTCACCTCTAGTCTGGCCACAGCCCGCGGCAGTGTACTGTGCTGCTGACGGCCTGCAGCTGGTGATCTTCCCCAACCCCACTCCTCCTGTGTCACTCACCTCTAGTCTGGCCACGGCGGCGGTGTACTTTACCGGCTGCTGACGGCCTGCAGCTGGTGATCTTCCCCAACCCCACTCCTCCCTGTGTCACTCACCTCTAGTCTGGCCACGGCGGTGTGTACTGTGCTGACGGCCTGCAGCTGGTGATCTTCCCCAACCCCACTCCTCCCTGTGTCACTCACCTCTAGTCTGGCCACGGCAGTGTACTCGCTGCTGACGGCCTGCAGCTGGTGATCTTCCCCAACCCCACTCCTCCCTGTGTCACTCACCTCTAGTCTGGCCACGACGGCAGTGTACTCGCTGCTGACGGCCTGCAGCTGGTGATCTTCCCCAACCCCACTCCTCCCTGTGTCACTCACCTCTAGTCTGGCCCGCGACGGCAGTGTACTTTCGCTGCTGACGGCCTGCAGCTGGTGATCTTCCCCAACCCCACTCCTCCCTGTGTCACTCACCTCTAGTCTGGCCACGACGGCAGTGTACTGTCGCTGCTGACGGCCTGCAGCTGGTGATCTTCCCCAACCCCACTCTCCCTGTGTCACTCACCTCTAGTCTGGCCACGGCGGCAGTGTACTTCGCTGCTGACTGACCTGCAGCTGGTGATCTTCCCCAACCCCACTCCTCCCTGTGTCACTCACCTCTAGTCTGGCCACGACGGCGGTGTACTTTCGCTGCTGACGGCCTGCAGCTGGTGATCTTCCCCAACCCCACTCCTCCCTGTGTCACTCACCTCTAGTCTGGCCACGGCGGCGCAGTGTACTTCGCTGCTGACGGCCTGCAGCTGGTGATCTTCCCCAACCCCACTCCTCCCTGTGTCACTCACCTCTAGTCTGGCCCGCGGCGGCAGTGTACTTCTGCTGCTGGCTGCCTGCAGCTGGTGATCTTCCCCAACCCACTCCTCCCTGTGTCACTCACCTCTAGTCTGGCCACGGCGGCAGTGTACTCGCTGCTGGCGGCCTGCAGCTGGTGATCTTCCCCAACCCACTCCTCCCTGTGTCACTCACCTCTAGTCTGGCCACGGCGGCAGTGTACTTCGCTGCTGACGGCCTGCAGCTGGTGATCTTCCCCAACCCCTGACTCCTCCCTGTGTCACTCACCTCTAGTCTGGCCACGACGGCAGTGTACTCGCTGCTGACGGCCTGCAGCTGGTGATCTTCCCCAACCCCACTCCTCCCTGTGTCACTCACCTCTAGTCTGGCCACTGACGGTAGTGTACTTTCAGCTGCTGACTGCCTGCAGCTGGTGATCTTCCCCAACCCCACTCCTCCCTGTGTCACTCACCTCTAGTCTGGCCACTTCACGGCAGTGTACTCGCTACTGACGGCCTGCAGCTGGTGATCTTCCCCAACCCCACTCCTCCCTGTGTCACTCACCTCTAGTCTGGCCACACGGCGGTGTACTGTCGCTGCTGACGGCCTGCAGCTGGTGATCTTCCCCAACCCCACTCCTCCCTGTGTCACTCACCTCTAGTCTGGCCACGACGGCAGTGTGTGCTGGGTGCTGACGGCCTGCAGCTGGTGATCTTCCCCAACCCCACTCCTCCCTGTGTCACTCACCTCTAGTCTGGCCACGACGGCAGTGTACTTCCGGTGCTGACGGGCCTGCAGCTGGTGATCTTCCCCAACCCCACTCCTCCCTGTGTCACTCACCTCTAGTCTGGCCACGCCGGCGGCAGTGTACTCTCGCTGCTGCTGACGGCTGCAGCTGGTGATCTACCCCAACCCCACTCCTCCCTGTGTCACTCACCTCAAGTCTGGCCCGGCGGCGGTGTACTGGCTGCTGCTGACGGCCTGCAGCTGGTGATCTACCCCAACCCCACTCCTCCCTGTGTCACTCACCTCTAGTCTGGCCACGCGGCGGGCAGTGTACTGCTACTGACGGACCTGCAGCTGGTGATCTACCCCAACCCCACTCCTCCCTGTGTCACTCACCTCTAGTCTGGCCACGACGGCGGTGTACTCGCTGCTGGCGGCCTGCAGCTGGTGATCTACCCCAACCCCACTCCTCCCTGTGTCACTCACCTCTAGTCTGGCCACGGCGGCGGTGTACTCTCGCTGGACGGCCTGCAGCTGGTGTTCTTCCCCAACCCACTCCTCCCTGTGTCACTCACCTCTAGTCTGGCCACCCACGGCAGTGTACTCGCTACTGACGGCCTGCAGCTGGTGTTCTTCCCCAACCCCACTCCTCCCTGTGTCACTCACCTCTAGTCTGGCCACGACGGCGGTGTGCTGCTGCTGACGGCCTGCAGCAGGTGATCTTCCCCAACCCCACTCTCCCTGTGTCACTCACCTCTAGTCTGGCCACGACGGCAGTGTACTCGCTGCTGACGGCCTGCAGCTGGTGATCTTCCCCAACCCCACTCCTCCCTGTGTCACTCACCTCTAGTCTGGCCACGACGGCAGTGTACTCGCTGCTGACGGCCTGCAGCTGGTGATCTTCCCCAACCCCACTCCTCCCTGTGTCACTCACCTCTAGTCTGGCCACGACGGCAGTGTACTCGCTGCTGACGGCCTGCAGCTGGTGTTCCGCGTCCAGGTTACCGCACACAGTGCCAAGCTTCTCCATGAAGTCCTGGCGAAGGTGTTGGTTCTCCACTCGCAGAGCCTCGATGTGGGCCTGGGCCACCTACATCATAAGTGTAACAGTAACAGTACAAAGTGGTAATGAAAGGTTTAAACCAAATACAGGCATTGTACACTGATTAATGAATAAATATCTCTTATGGAATTAGTTTTAACTCTGAATGTTTTAAGTCCAGAGCCTGTCAGGTCAGTTACTCTCTTGTTAGAACAATGTCTAACTGAATGAACCTAACATGTGACATCATGAACAAGCGCTGATGTCATTGTCAATTGTTGTCCAATGTGCTGTGATGGTGCTATGATGTCATTGTCAATTGTTGTCCAATGTGCTGTGATGGTGCTATGATGTCATTGTCAGTTGTTGTCCAATGTGCTGTGATGGTGCTATGATGTCATTGTCAGTTGTTGTCCAATGTGTTGTGATGGTGCTATGATGTCATTGTCAATTGTTGTCCAATGTGTTGTGATGGTGCTATGATGTCATTGTCAGTTGTTGTCCAATGTGCTGTGATGGTGCTATGATGTCATTGTCAATTGTTGTCCAATGTGTTGTGATGGTGCTATGATGTCATTGTCAGTTGTTGTCCAATGTGCTGTGATGGTGCTATGATGTCATTGTCAATTGTTGTCCAATGTGCTGTGATGGTGCTATGATGTCATTGTCAATTGTTGTCCAATGTGCTGTGATGGTGCTATGATGTCATTGTCAATTGTTGTCCAATGTGCTGTGATGGTGCTATGATGTCATTGTCAATTGTTGTCCAATGTGCTGTGATGGTGCTATGATGTCATTGTCAATTGTTGTCCAATGTGCTGTGATGGTGCTATGATGTCATTGTCAGTTGTTGTCCAATGTGTTGTGATGGTGCTATGATGTCACTGTCCATTGTTGTCCAATGTGTTGTGATGGTGCTATGATGTCATTGTCAGTTGTTGTCCAATGTGTTGTGATGGTGCTATGATGTCACTGTCCATTGTTGTCCAATGTGTTGTGATGGTGCTATGATGTCATTGTCAGTTGTTGTCCAATGTGTTGTGATGGTGCTATGATGTCATTGTCAGTTGTTGTCCAATGTGTTGTGATGGTGCTATGATGTCACTGTCCATTGTTGTCCAATGTGTTGTGATGGTGCTATGATGTCATTGTCAGTTGTTGTCCAATGTGTTGTGATGGTGCTATGATGTCATTGTCAATTGTTGTCCAATGTGCTGTGATGGTGCTATGATGTCATTGTCAATTGTTGTCCAATGTGTTGTGATGGTGCTATGATGTCATTGTCCATTGTTGTCCAATGTGTTGTGATGGTGCTATGATGTCACTGTCAGTTGTTGTCCAATGTGTTGTGATGGTGCTATGATGTCACTGTCAGTTGTTGTCCAATGTGTTGTGATGGTGCTATGATGTCATTGTCCATTGTTGTCCAATGTGTTGTGATGGTGCTATGATGTCATTGTCAGTTGTTGTCCAATGTGCTGTGATGGTGCTATGATGTCATTGTCCATTGTTGTTCAATGTGTTGTGATGGTGCTATGATGTCACTGTCAATTGTTGTCCAATGTGCTGTGCTGGTGCTATGATGTCATTGTCAACTGTAGTCCAATGTGTTGTGATGGTGCTATGACATCACTCGTAGCCTCCGGGCAAACAGTGGAAACAATTGGAACTAAATTAGAAATCAGTACGTAATGCTCAGTGCGAATTACTGTAAATAATGACACCTATATCTGTGTCTCCATGGGTAATACATTTAGATCTCCATGTGACCAAGACGTTTACTATTTACTACTGTGAGTAAGGAAATAACACCAGGTGAATTGTGAAGCCATCTATGATAAACTGAACTCAACACGTCACGGTGCTAGAATAGACTGGACCATGTTCTAGAAGGCCATACAGTGGCCAGCTTACTTTATCTCAAAGATGGAAATTTAGCATTATTGCTTTTGATATTTGTTATATACTAGGCACAAGAAATAAGGGAACCCCCAAGTGGAATTTATAGTTGAAACAATGCTACATAAAAGTTGCAAGCTGATTGCATTTGAACCCAGATTGGAAATCACTTACGGCTGATCCGACAGTCAGCACCATATTACCTTTACATGATACATGTGCATTCTAGCCTATTAAACTGACAGTAAGCGTGTCCCTCTCTCTTTTGAGAAAATGCCACCTCGACAGTATCTGACAAGCGCACAGAAATGGCAGGCCATTGGCATGATAGAGGGTGGAGGAGAGTGTTGCCCTGTTCTTCAGGAAGTCCAAAAGCGTCATTTCCCGTCTCATCAACCTTTAACATCAGACAGGGGGGGTTAAATGAGGACCAGGTGAGGAAGATGCCCTAAAACCACCCCCAGACAAGACAACATCCTGAGAGCTATAGCTCCAAAGAATCGATTTGTCACAGCCCCGGATTTGAAGATGGAATTCTTCAGAACCACAGGAACACGGATTTCGAACTGTACTGTACAAAACAGGCTCCGTAGCAGAGGTCTTAAGTCAAGACGTCCATTCAAAGGCGTGAAGATGACAGCTAACCACAGACGTCTTCGTTATCAGTGGGCTCAGCAACGTCAGAGAAGGGGGAACCGACAATGCCGACATGTGATGTTCAGTGATGAATCTCGCTTTTGTTTGCGATTCACGGATGAACTATTGCGTGTGTGGCGACGCAGATGAGAGCGTTATGGAAGACCCATGGTACAGGAACACGATTCTTATGGAGGCAGCTCTATCGTGGTCTGGGGAGGAATTTCTTTCAATAGGAGGACTGATTGACAGGGGCGTGTCACGCTTAGAAACAGCGTTAGAAAGACATATAGGTATGTAGACCCTACCCTAGTACTATATGAAAGGAAAGGGATGTAATGACGGAACCACTCTCTCCCCAATCAAAGTTAGATTTCACCACGTAAACTATTTTTAAGACCCCGTCGAGGCCTACGGATCAAAAGCGAGATGATTACCCTACAAAATGAGCTATAAATGGTCACAATCGGATCATTATTTCAAAAGTTATACGCCACGACTCACCGAAAACAGCTACCTCCGCAATTCAAAGCCAAAATCATGGATCACCCAAGTCAGCGAAAACTCACCTTTTAAATTTGTTTATTAATTCCAGCCGCGTTGACAGCACCTATGTAGGGCTAGATTCGATCGGCAGCGGCATTACATGGGTCTTAAAACTTATTGCAACACCTACAAATCATTTCCTCGATAGGAAAGAGGCATTTTCTCCAAAACCATCGGCATTCATACTCACTTGTCGGCCATAGATGGCCTTGACACTTAAGTGACCTGATATAGTACTAGGGTAGGGTCTAGATACCTAAATGAAATTTTTAGAGTAAAATTAATATTTTATACTTATCCTGACTCATGCTTATTGCTTGTCTTCTTCTTCTGGCTTAACCTAGTGGAACACTTGTATCTCCCAATTGAAGTTCCCTTCAATAAAAAATCACTCATTAGTACTGACCACGAAGTTACCTCCCTTCCACAAGCTGAACGAGGGCTTCACCTGAACCCATGTGCCTCACTCTCTCCTCATATACTGAGCTCAACACCTGAATTTCCAGGGAAATCCAAAGTGTTATGTGGGGAGGATGGGAGGGCTTACCTCATGAGTCAGGATAAGTATAAAATATTAATTTTACTCTAAAATTTCATATTTTTCCTTATCCTGACTCATGCTTATTGCTTGTAGAATCCCTACGGATAAGGAGGTGGGATTATATATACTTTGGATTTTACTAATTAGTGATTTGAACTGAGATGATTGCAATAACCCTATGGGAACTTCATAAAGGCACTGAACTGAAGAATTCCTGCTGTTAACTTATCAGCTGCCATATAAGGGTTATTACAATTTACTGAATATAATAAAAGTATATATAACATTAAGTAAGCTGAAGCCATTAATGTGATAGTATAAACTCTTGATAGTTTATAGTGAATACTTTTATAATGAACCAAAGTATTAAGCTTACAATATGCATATATATAAGCTATAATATAACTGTGCTTAAGATATAACTATAACTTAAGCTGTATAATAGTAACCAATTACTGAGAGTTTGTTAACTAATACATGTCATGAACTGAACATATGACTGAGCTTAAGGATTGAAACTTAAGCTGAACATATATATAATAGTAGAACTCCTAAGAGTTGTAGGCATATATATAGTATGATATAGAATCACAGTACCGTATAACAGCAAAAGACTCCCTAGAGTTTATTAGCTAATATACTTTATGAGTATAGTACTGTGCTTAAGATATAATTAACTTGAGCTACCTAAATAGCCAAAACAACTCCAGAGAGTTTGTTAGCTAAAACATTTTATAATGTAACCATAATGCTTAAGATATGATGAAACTTAAGCAAAATATATAATAGCAAAAACTCTTTAGAGTTTGTTAGCTAAGATACTTATATGATATAATATAGTACTGAGCTTAAGATATGAATAAACTTAAGCTACATATATAATAGCAAAAAACTCCGTGAGAGTTTGTTAGCTAATACATTTTATAATGTAACCATAATGCTTAAGATATGAATAAACTTAAGCTAAATATATAATAGCAAAAACTCTTTAGAGTTTGTTAGCTAATATACTTATGATATAAACATAGTACTGAGCTTAAGATATGAATTAACTTAAGCTACATATATAATAGCAAAAACTCTGTAGAGTTTGTTAGCTAATACATTATAATGTAACCATAGAATTGAGCTTAAGATATGATTAACTTAAGCTAAATATATAATAACAAACTCCGTAGAGAGTTGTTAGCTTATATATAGTATGATATAAACACCATAGTACTGAGCTTAAGATAATAAATTAAACTTAAGCAAAATATATAGATAGCATGTATCTATTAGTACTGTCATCCGATAAGTATAAAATCTGTAAGATAGACTTATCTTCTCCGTGGAACTGTCAACTGTTGAGCGAGGACCATGGGACCGAAACGGTGGATACCTGAGACTTCCTTGGTGGTGATATCTCTCAGATAGTGGTTGGCAAACACCATATCGGATCTCCAGAAACATCCCTCCATTATGGTATTCAACGAACAATTCCCATGTAGAGCGAGAGTTGAGGCTAGCGCTCTAATTTCGTGAGGATTAGAAGCTCTTGGAGGGTCACGTCCTACAGCCTTGTAGGCACGTAGTATGACAGTTCTGATCCAGATAGAGATAGCAGTACGTGAGACTTCCGTCTGCATAGCTGTAGATATAGGGATAAATAATCTCTTGAATATCCCCTGCTCTATTTGGATCGTTGGGGATATATTTTCAGTGTAATGAACTGGGCATAGTGATAGATCCATCGTATCATGCGTCCAAGTATGGATGAGAGAGCTGGGACGTGGAATAATCTGTCTGGTTGACCTGGCAGTTGGTTTTCCTATAAAATCCCAGCCAAGTCCCAGATGAGCTATGTTATGAAAATCATCAAAGCTGTTCTCTCTCGTAATCCAGTGCGTGAATCTGACATCCTGGTGGCCGTAGCTAGTGCTAACAGGATCAAGGTTTTGTGGGTCAGTCATTCAAACGATGTAGATAGCGATGGTTCAAAAAACCTCACTAGTGAGGTGTTGGAGCATTATATTAGATCCCAAGCTGGAGCGTGAAACTTCCGTTTCTAATCCTCCAATCGGAACGCTTGTAACAAACCGAGTAACTCTGGCGTTTTGTCAACTTGACGCCCGCTCTCATAGTATGACAGAACTTATAGCTGCCAGATAAATGGACAAGGTTGAGCCTTTAGATTCTTAGTTTAACGTAGATAACATAAGAAATCTGCCACTTGAGGATGTGTAGCATATCTGGCTGTAAATCCTTTCTTAGCAGCGTAATTGACAAAACTGTGCCATTTGTCATCGTGATAAGTTACGAGTTGAGTTACGCCTTGCAAAGCTGACCGCTGTAGCAGCTCTGGCAGAATAACCTCTTATTCAGACATGCCTTGATACAATCCATACGTGAAGTTGGAATGCTTCTGGTGTATCGTGCACTTGTTTGGTGTGGAGATGTATCAATAGATTGGAGCGTTGTGGGAGCTGAAGAATTAGTTTTCCGATATCTTGTATGAGATCTGGAAACCAAGTTCTCGCTAGCCAGTAGGGCGTGACCAAATCAGATGGAGGCTCTGCATTTGACTGATTTTCTGTAAGACTTGCTTAGTGTGTCCGTTGCCCATGCTAGTGGGTCTGGCACTGGCGATAATGAATGTTGTCAGTTGCTTGTTGAACCGAGTGGTGAATAGGTCTATCAGAGGAGATCCTATTTCCCTGTGTGTGGAGCATCCATTCTGTCGGGCGACGGTAGGTGTAGCCCAGAGAGAGCGCCTGCTAATACATTCTATGCTCCTGAATGTGGCAAGTACTGACGGTATGTTTAGATTGTCGATCACGATCGAACAGTCTGAAACATCGAGTCAGTAGGTTCTGTGACCTAGTTGAACCTTGTTTGTTCACATAAAAACGCCAGTGTTGAATTGTCTGTGTGAACCATTATCTGAGCCGCTCTGTAGTAGGTTGCTCCAGTGACTTATGGCGCTTATAACTGCTTGCATCACTAGCAGATTATGTGACATATTGCTCTCTTGATTGCTCCATAGACCTGAGGCTGTCCTGCCGGTAAGGTGGGCTCCCAACCTTGTAGTGACGCTGCCTACGCACAGATGTGTTTTCGATTCGCCTCTACTAAGGAGACGCTTGCGCAAACATTCAATCTCTTGGTCTTGATGATGAAATTCAACTGTAGTCTGAGACGCTGTGGATTTGGATCCACTTGTACACCGTCGTCGAGGAAAATTCGCTGCCAAGTCCTTGACGATGCTCACTGAGATAATGTTGTCACTTGCAACCTAAGTCTTGAACTGTGAACTATGCTCGACCTCTGTGTAGGGCGTTGTCCATCGCGGTCCAATCAGAACAAGGCATTTTGATTCTGTAGAGTACCCGCGCTGTGATGTCACCGGTGTAGCAGGAAAAGGAACCTTGTATAATATAGTGCCGTTGTTGATATTAGAACAATCGTCGGTCTTCACCGTAGCTTCCCGGAGTTACCCGAGTAACCACGTGTTTCCAGGGTTAATGGTAAACTCATGAAACCTCCGCGCGAAATACCTCACGCTCTATAATATTAATGCTGGGTAGGTTATTTTCCTGGCTGTCGTGGAAAGTAACTTCAGTCTTGAAGATAATTCACTTCCTTATATAAAGGTTTAATAAAACTTGCAAGTTGTTAACTTGTAGACTGTATACATGAATGTATCGTCATAAATGTAGAATTAAAGCTGAACTTGTTGTACATATTTCTTCTCAGAAATCGCTGACGATATGAGTTTTATTAAGCTGTAACAAGGTTGCTGTTCAATTCCGTAATAGAATTGTCTGCAGATCTGCGCTTTGGGCTTCCGAAGATTTGGAGCAGGCTGTATCCAGATTAGTTGGTACCGCTGCAATCGGATCAATAGGAGGTAAGGTGAAATAGTCTACATCATCATTCTTCATGACGTAAGTCTAAGTTGAATTCTCGCTTCTTGATGAAAAAAACACGCTTGTAACTCATTCACCATCCAGTATCTAATCTCAGCATCTGAGAAAATGATACTTTCCTCCTCTTTTGACGTAGGGTCACATGTCGGAGTCCTAGATCTATAGGAAGATCTATGAGAGGACTGTGATGAACGGACTGACGAAGTGGCTAGTGTAAGGAGACCTTGGAGGAGACACCCTCCGCTGAACGCTGGGGACTTCGCGAACTCTACTATATCTTCCTCGAACGTTGGGGGCTTCAGCGAACGCTGGGGGCTTCACGCGAAGCTCTTCTAGGCGATGTAGATCTTCTAGGCGGTGAAGAACTGGAGCCACTTAGCCTTCGCGACCTTCGCGAATGTATCGAGTCAGTGTCCAGATCGACATATGAGCGCTTGCTTAACATGCCGTGCATGACAAGGTGCGTGCTTTCGGCGGCGCTCCTTCTCCTACGAAGCCTCTTGCAAACGGTGAGGCTCTAGCTCCTTCACGGAGGTGGCCTGGGATACCTTATGCAAAGAGCTCACTCCGGGCAGGGTTGCCCTTCGCGCGGCGCGTCTATGGGCTCAGAGGCCCTCACGCTGAACCAAGGCGGCTCTGAGGCCCTGTATGACTTGATATGGGGTGGGCTCTGAGGCCCGTGGCTATGAGCCTCTGTAAGTCGTGAAGCGGTCTTCCATCACCCTCATTATCTGGTTGATCAAGTCGCCTGAAGCGGTCTGCGCTGATGAGGATGTCTCTCTGCAGAGGTGACGGGACCCTCAGATAAAATTTCTGGTGATAGTGTCGGCATCTCCGTTGTGTGCTAATCTGCGCTGAGGTAACAGTCGCAGAAACAAGACGTTCTTATGACGAGCATCTGGAATGATAATCGGAATGTCATCATCATATAAAGATAATTCTGTGATAGGTAAACTATCGGAGGCAAAATTATTAGATTTTGTAGATTTCCCTTTGACGAAGCTGTAGACCTAGGGTTCGAAACGTATGTGATGATATGGACGTTTTCCTAGTCTTAGACTGAGAAGACGGCAGGTCTTGAGATGCAGGTCACTGCTTGGACATAGCGGACTGCGTCCCACGCTATTCTCCGAGGGAACTCAGGCATGCCACCAGCCGGTGGCGGGTCGTCAGTCAACATTGACAGGGAATATTAGCTTCTGATCTAATAGCCATGACTGAAGATTGTTTGCAAGATTTATCTGCCTTCCGTCTCAAAACGGAACATAAATATTTATCAAAGGCAGAAATTGGTAAATTAATACATAATTTACAACGAGAAACAAAAGAACATGGAGTAATGCAACTAGGGCATTTTAAATGTGGATCAGTAGCGGAATAACGTAGTTTACAATCTGTGCAGATTCTCATTAACGTAAACTACTGAACAATCACGCGAACCGTGAATAAACAGCAGAAACGCCATTAATAATCAATGCAAGTTGAATAAGGATACTAGTTACACCTCTATACTAAGTATAAGAGGTACTAAACTAAAAGGATATAGTCTGTTGGGAGACACAGGCGCTCTCACGACGAGCTCACTGGGCGAAGAAGGAGAGATTGAGGCACATGGGTTCAGGTGGCACCCTCGTTCCCGCGCTTGTGGAAGGGAGGTAACTCGTGGTCTGTACTAATGAGTGATTTTTTATTGAAGGGAACTTCAATTGGGAGATACAAGTGTTCCACTAGGTTCGCCAGAAGAAGAAGACAAGCAATAAGCATGAGTCAGGATAAGGAAAAAATTTTGTGTTTCAGGACGATAATGCACCTTCTCACAGAGTTCATGTTGTCGTGAACTTCTTGCAACAACAAGGTGTTAAAACTTTACCCTTGCCAGTCTAAAACACCAGATCTATAACCTATCAAACATCTGTGGGATGTGTTAGGGCGTCGAGTGCATCTCAGGGAGCCTGCACCAGCAAATCTTGATGTGTTAGGCAGAGCACTGCAGCAAGAGTGGCACGTGATTCCAAGGGCAACAATTCAGCGGTTGGTGTCCAGCATGCAAACAAGGTGTCGCGCATGTATTGCTGCTCATGGTGGACACACTCATTACTAAGTATATCTGACATACTTACCATACAGTTTTGCTGATTAAATTATACATGCTTCACAAAGTGAAGGGGTTGCTTTATTTTTTGTGCCTAGTATATGCTAAAATCTGAAATGAAAATGTGGTGTCTCAGAATTTTTCTAATTGATTAAGAAAAAGAAGTGACGATACAGTCAGATTGGCAGAGATTATTTCCTTAATCCGTCTTGGAATGTGAAGCCTTTTAACTTTGGGTTATAAGTTTGTTTTTGTCACCTTTAGCTCTACCTCTCGTCCTTCCAACATGTCCTTCTCCATGACAACCTGCTGCTCCATCCGCGACATCTTGTCAGTGAAGCTGGCGATGGAAGCATTGCGCTGATGGAGGTCTGTGGTGAGTTGGGCCAGCTTCGTCCTCATGCCGTCCAGCTCCGCCCCGTGACTGGCCTCCACCACGCGAAACTTGTCCTGCAGCTGAAACATTTAGAGTGAAACCCATTCATTAACAGTGAAACGAATTCATTTAGTGTGAAATCCACTTATTTAGTGTGAAACCCCCTCTTTTACTGTGAAACTCATTTATTTACTGTGAAACCCACTCAGTCATTGTGAAACCTACTCATTTACTGTGAAACCCATTCATTTACTGTGAACCCAGTCACTATGAAATCCATTCATTTACTGTGAAACCCATTCATTTACCGTGAAACCCACAGTTAATGTGAAACCCACACAGTTACTGTGAAACCAATTCAGTTACTGTGACACACACAGTTACCGTGAAACCAACTCAGTTACTGTGAAACCCCAACATTTACTGTGAAACACATTCAGTTTTTGTGAAACCAACTCAGTCACTGTGAAACCCATAGCTACTGTGAAACCCACTCAGATACTGTGAAACCCATTCATTTACTGTGAAGCCCACTCATTTTAGTGTGAAATCCACTTATTTAGTGTGAAACCCCCTCAGTTACTGTGAAACTCATTCAGTTACTGTGAAACCCATTCATTTACTGTGAAACCCATTCAGTTACCATGAAATACATTCATTTACTGTGAAACCCACTCATTTACTGTAAAAGCCATTCATTTACTTTGAAACACACTCTTTTACTGTGAACGACACCCAGTTACCGTGAAACCCATTCAGTTACTGTGAAACCCACATATTTAGTGTGAAACCCCCTCAGTTACTGTAAAACCACATATTTAGTTAGAAACCCCCTCAGTTACTGTAAAACCAATTCATTAACAGTGAAACCCATTCATTTAGTGTGAAATCCACTGATTTAGTGTGAAACCCCCTCTTTTACTGTGAAACCCATTAATTTACTGTGAAACCCACTCAGTCACTGTGAAACCTACTCATTTACTGTGAAACCCATTCATTTACTGTGAACCCAGTCACTATGAAATCCATTCATTTACTGTGAAACCCATTCATTTACCGTGACACTCATTTACTGTGAAACCCAGTTAATGTGAAACCCACACAGTTACTGTGAAACTCAGTTACTGTGAAACCAATTCAGTTACTGTGACACCCACAGTTACTGTGAAACCAACTCAGTTACTGTGAAACCCTCTCAATTACTGTGAAACCCACAGAGAAACTGTGAAACCCAAACAGTTACATTTACTGTGCAACCGACTCAAGTTACTTTGAAACCCATTCATTTACTGTGAAACCCATTCAACTACTGTGAAACCAACTCAGTTAATGTGAAACCCCAACATTTACTGTGAAACACATTCAGTTTCTGTGAAACCAACTCAGTTACTGTGAAACCCATTCATTTACTGTGAAACCCACTCATTTTAGTGTGAAATCCACTTATTTAGTGTGAAACCCCGTTAGTGTGAAACTCATTCAGTTACTGGGAAACCCATTCAGTTACCATGAAAAACATTTACTGTGAAACCCACTCATTTACTGTAAAAGCCATTCATTTACTGTGAAAGACACCCAGTTACCGTGAAACCCATGCAGTTACAGTGAAAGCCACGTATTTAGTGTGAAACCCCCTCAGTTACTGTAAAACTCATTCAGTTACTGTGAAACCCACTCATTTGCTGTGGAACTCACTCATTTACTGTGAAACGCATTCATTTACTGTGAAACCCACTCATTTGCTGTGAAACCCACTCATTTGCTGTGGAACCCACTCATGTACTGTAAAACCCACAGTTACTGTGAAACCCATTCAGATACTGTGAAACCCACTCAGTTACTGTGAAACCCATTCAGATACTGTGACACCCATTCAGTTACTGCAAAACCCAAAGAGTTACTGTGAAATCCACTCAGTAACTATGAAACCCACTCAAATATTGTGAAACCCACTCAGTTACCATGAAACCCACTCAGTTACTGTGAAACCCACAGGTACTGTGAAACACAAACAATTACTGTGAAACCAAGACAGTTACTGTGAAACCCACTGATACTGTGAAATCCATTCAGTTACTGTGAAACCCACTCATTTACTGTGAAACACACAGATACTTTGAAACCCATTTATTTACTGTGAAACCCACACAGTTACTTCAAAACCCACTCATTTACCGTGAAACCCATTCATTTTCTGTGAAACCCACTGAGTCACTGTAAAACCCAATCAGTCACTGTGAAACCCACTCAGTTACTATTAGAAACCCTCTCAGTTACTGTGAAGCCCACAGAGTTACTGTGAAACCCACTCAGTTACTGTGAAACCCACAGTTACTGTGAAACCCACAGTTACTGTGAAGCCAACTCAGTTACTGTGAAACCCACACAGTTACCATGAAACCCACTCAGTTACTGTGAAACACACTCAGTTACTGTGAAACCCACAGTTACTGTGAAACCAACTCAGTTACTGTGAAACCCTCTCAATTACTGTGAAACCCGCAGTTACTGTGAAACCCAAACAGTTACTGTGAAACCCACTCAATTACCGTGAAACCCAAACAGTTACTGTGAAACCCATTCAGTAACTGTTTAACCCAGTTACCATGACACCCAGAGTTACTGTGAAACCCATAGAGTTACTGTGATACCCACTCAGTTACTGTGAAACCCAAACAGTCACTGTGAAACCCGCTAAGTTACTGTGAAACTCAAACAGTTACTGTGAAACCCACAGAGTTAGTGTGAAACCCATTCATTTACTGTGAAACCCACTCAGTCACTGTGAAACCCAAACAGTTACTGTGAAACCCAAACAGTTACTGTGAATACCACAGAGTTACTGTGAAACCCATTCATTTACTGTGAAACCCACTCAGTCACTGTGAAACCCACACAGTAAGTTCGGTTGTCCCCTACCTGCTGGACCTGTGTCTGCAGTGCATGGAGCTCAGTTGTCTTCAGATGAATCAGCTCAGAGTCCTGGTAAGAGAGTACTTGTTACACAAAGCTAAAAAATACTACCAATACTGTAAGTTCATCTAAACCCTGAACTCTAGGAATACTGTCAGTACATCTAAACCCTGAACTCTGGGAATACTGTCAGTACATCTAAACCCTGAACTCTAGGAATACTGTCAGTACATCTAAACCCTGAACTCTAGGAATACTGTCAGTACATCTAAACCCTGAACTCTGGGAATACTGTCAGTACATCTAAACCCTGAACTCTAGGAATACTGTCAGTACATCTAAACCCTGAACTCTCGGAATACTGTCAGTACATCTAAACCCTGAACTCTCGGAATACTGTCAGTACATCTAAACCCTGAACTCTAGGAATACTGTCAGTACATCTAAACCCTGAACTCTAGGAATACTGTAAGTACATCTAAACCCTGAACTCTAGGAATACTGTCAGTACATCTAAACCCTGAACTCTAGGAATACTGTCAGTACATCTAAACCCTGAACTCTGGGAATACTGTCCGTATATCTAAACCCTGAACTCTAGGAATACTGTCAGTACATCTAAACCCTGAACTCTAGGAATACTGTCAGTACATCTAAACCCTGAACTCTAGGAATACTGTCAGTACATCTAAATCCTGAACTCTCGGAATACTGTCAGTACATCTAAACCCTGAACTCTAGGAATACTGTCAGTACATCTAAACCCTGAACTCTCGGAATACTGTCAGTTCATCTAAACCCTGAACTCTAGGAATACTGTCAGTACATCTAAACCCTGAACTCGGGGAATACTGTCAGTACATCTAAACCCTGAACTCTGGGAATACTGTCAGTACATCTAAACCCTGAACTCTGGGAATACTGTCAGTACATCTAAACCCTGAACTCTGGGAATACTGTCAGTACATCTAAACCCTGAACTCTAGGAATACTGTCAGTACATCTAAACCCTGAACTCTAGGAATACTGTCAGTACATCTAAACCCTGAACTCTAGGAATACTGTCAGTACATCTAAACCCTGAACTCTCGAATACTGTCCGTTATGAACCTCCCTGAACTCTAGGAATACTGTCAGTACATCTAAACCCTGAACTCTAGGAATACTGTCAGTACATCTAAACCCTGAACTCTAGGAATACTGTCAGTACATCTAAATCCTGAACTCTCGGAATACTGTCAGTACATCTAAACCCTGAACTCTCGGAATACTGTAAGTACATCTAAACCCTGAACTCTAGGAATACTGTCAGTACATCTAAACCCTGAACTCTAGGAATACTGTCAGTACATCTAAATCCTGAACTCTGTGGGAATACTGTCAGTACATCTGAACCCTGAACTCTGGGAATACTGTCAGTACATCTAAACCCTGAACTCTGTGGGAATACTGTCAGTACATCTAAACCTTGAACTCTGTGGGAATACTGTCAGTACATCTAAACCCTGAACTCTAGGAATACTGTCAGTACATCTAAACCCTGAACTCTCGGAATACTGTCAGTTCATCTAAACCCTGAACTCTAGGAATACTGTCAGTACATCTAAACCCTGAACTCTAGGAATACTGTCAGTACATCTAAACCCTGAACTCTAGGAATACTGTCAGTACATCTAAACCCTGAACTCTAGGAATACTGTCAGTACATCTGAACCCTGAACTCTCGGAATACTGTAAGTACATCTAAACCCTGAACTCTAGGAATACTGTCAGAACATCTAAACCCTGAACTCTAGGAATACTGTCAGTACATCTAAACCCTGAACTCTAGGAATACTGTCAGTACATCTAAACCCTGAACTCTCGGAATACTGTCAGTACATCTAAACCCTGAACTCTCGGAATACTGTAAGTACATCTAAACCCTGAACTCTAGGAATACTGTCAGTACATCTAAACCCTGAACTCTAGGAATACTGTCAGTACATCTAAATCCTGAACTCTCGGAATACTGTCAGTACATCTAAACCCTGAACTCTCGGAATACTGTAAGTACATCTAAACCCTGAACTCTAGGAATACTGTCAGTACATCTAAACCCTGAACTCTGTGGGAATACTGTCAGTACATCTAAACCTTGAACTCTGTGGGAATACTGTCAGTACATCTAAACCCTGAACTCTGGGAATACTGTCAGTACATGTAAACCCTGAACTCTGGGAATACTGTCAGTACATCTAAATCCTGAACTCTAGGAATACTGTCAGTACATCTAAACCCTGAACTCTAGGAATACTGTCAGTACATCTAAACCCTGAACTCTAGGAATACTGTCAGTACATCTAAACCCTGAACTCTCGGAATACTGTCAGTAAATCTAAGCCCTGAACTCTCGGAATACTGTAAATACATCTAAACCCTGAACTCTCGGAATACTGTCAGTACATCTAAACCCTGAACTCTAGGAATACTGTCAGTACATCTAAACCCTGAACTCTAGGAATACTGTCAGTACATCTAAACCCTGAACTCTCGGAATACTGTCCGTATATCTAAACCCTGAACTCTAGGAATACTGTCAGAACATCTAAACCCTGAACTCTAGGAATACTGACAGTACATCTAAACCCTGAACTCTAGGAATACTGTCAGTACATCTAAACCCTGAACTCTCGGAATACTGTCAGTACATCTAAACCCTGAACTCTCGGAATACTGTAAGTACATCTAAACCCTGAACTCTAGGAATACTGTCAGTACATCTAAACCCTGAACTCTAGGAATACTGTCAGTACATCTAAATCCTGAACTCTCGGAATACTGTCAGTACATCTAAACCCTGAACTCTCGGAATACTGTAAGTACATCTAAACCCTGAACTCTAGGAATACTGTCAGTACATCTAAACCCTGAACTCTAGGAATACTGTCAGTACATCTAAATCCTGAACTCTGTGGGAATACTGTCAGTACATCTAAACCCTGAACTCTGGGAATACTGTCAGTACATCTAAACCCTGAACTCTAGGAATACTGTCAGTACATCTAAATCCTGAACTCTCGGAATACTGTCAGTACATCTAAACCCTGAACTCTAGGAATACTGTCAGTACATCTAAACCCTGAACTCTCGGAATACTGTCAGTTCATCTAAACCCTGAACTCTAGGAATACTGTCAGTACATCTAAACCCTGAACTCTGGGAATACTGTCAGTACATCTAAACCCTGAACTCTGGGAATACTGTCAGTACATCTAAACCCTGAACTCTGGGAATACTGTCAGTACATCTAAACCATGAACTCTGGGAATACTGTCAGTACATCTAAACCCTGAACTCTAGGAATACTGTCAGTACATCTAAACCCTGAACTCTAGGAATACTGTCAGTACATCTAAACCCTGAACTCTAGGAATACTGTCAGTACATCTAAACCCTGAACTCTCGGAATACTGTCCGTATATCTGAACCCTGAACTCTAGGAATACTGTCAGTACATCTAAACCCTGAACTCTAGGAATACTGTCAGTACATCTAAACCCTGAACTCTAGGAATACTGTCAGTACATCTAAATCCTGAACTCTCGGAATACTGTCAGTACATCTAAACCCTGAACTCTCGAATACTGTCAGTACATCTAAACCCTGAACTCTAGGAATACTGTCAGTACATCTAAACCCTGAACTCTAGGAATACTGTCAGTACATCTAAATCCTGAACTCTGTGGGAATACTGTCAGTACATCTGAACCCTGAACTCTGGGAATACTGTCAGTACATCTAAACCCTGAACTCTAGGAATACTGTCAGTACATCTAAACCCTGAACTCTGTGAATACTGTCAGTACATCTAAACCTTGAACTCTGTGGGAATACTGTCAGTACATGTAAACCCTGAACTCTGGGAATACTGTCAGTACATCTAAACCCTGAACTCTGGGAATACTGTCAGTACATCTAAATCCTGAACTCTAGGAATACTGTCAGTACATCTAAGCCCTGAACTCTAGGAATACTGTCAGTACATCTAAACCCTGAACTCTAGGAATACTGTCAGTACATCTAAACCCTGAACTCTCGGAATACTGTCAGTACATCTAAGCCCTGAACTCTCGGAATACTGTAAGTACATCTAAACCCTGAACTCTAGGAATACTGTCAGTACATCTAAACCCTGAACTCTAGGAATACTGTCAGTACATCTAAACCCTGAACTCTAGGAATACTGTCAGTACATCTAAACCCTGAACTCTAGGAATACTGTCAGTACATCTAAACCCTGAACTCTGGGAATACTGTCCATTATCTAAACCCTGAACTCTAGGAATACTGTCAGAACATCTAAACCCTGAACTCTAGGAATACTGTCAGTACATCTAAACCCTGAACTCTAGGAATACTGTCAGTACATCTAAACCCTGAACTCTCGAATACTGTCAGTACATCTAAACCCTGAACTCTCGAATACTGTAAGTACATCTAAACCCTGAACTCTAGGAATACTGTCAGTGCATCTAAACCCTGAACTCTAGGAATACTGTCAGTACATCTAAATCCTGAACTCTCGGAATACTGTCAGTACATCTAAACCCTGAACTCTCGAATACTGTAAGTACATCTAAACCCTGAACTCTAGGAATACTGTCAGTACATCTAAACCCTGAACTCTAGGAATACTGTCAGTACATCTAAATCCTGAACTCTGTGGGAATACTGTCAGTACATCTAAACCCTGAACTCTGGGAATACTGTCAGTACATCTAAACCCTGAACTCTAGGAATACTGTCAGTACATCTAAATCCTGAACTCTCGGAATACTGTCAGTACATCTAAACCCTGAACTCTAGGAATACTGTCAGTACATCTAAACCCTGAACTCTCGGAATACTGTCAGTTCATCTAAACCCTGACCTCTAGGAATACTGTCAGTACATCTAAACCCTGAACTCGGGGAATACTGTCAGTACATCTAAACCCTGAACTCTGGGAATACTGTCAGTACATCTAAACCCTGAACTCTGGGAATACTGTCAGTACATCTAAACCCTGAACTCTGGGAATACTGTCA